TGATGTGGAGCTCAGACCCACACACTAAAGCAGCACAGAACCTGAAAATACAAAAATTAAACCCTGAGGCATCCAAATGGAAGGAGCCAAGGTCCTTTGCCACAGCTTCTGAACTCGGTGGGAATCTGGAGCTGAGCCCAAAAATTCAGGAACGGCTCCATCTCTTGGCCATTCCTGTGGGATGGAGGGAAGAAAAATCTGCATTTCCATATCCCCATGGAACTGGGCCTTTCCTTTTCTCCTGATTTCCCAAGGGAATTGGGACTATTTTATATGGAATTTTCTTACCTGGGTCAGCTCCAGGTGTTAGGGACTGCTTCCCATGTTTTCTCCATCACTGAGCATGGGACTGTGGGATTGGGATGATTCCTGGTGTTTTGGCAGCTCTTGTTGATGATAAGCTGAGAATGATTCCCAGTGGAATTGTTTGTTCCTTCTTTTCCCACTAATTAAAAAAAAATATCTTTATCTTTCAGGACAAGATAAGCACCGAGAATTCCGGATACTGGCCTTGGATTTCCATCTGCTGGAATTTCCCCTTGTTTTTCAGCCCAGACTCCCATTCCAGAGCTCCAAAATGGGCCGAAATCCCTAAAGATATTTGGATATTTTTGTTTAGTTTGCCTTGCTCCTCCGTGGGAAGAGGGTGGAACCTGTGGAGATCCTATGGAAGAAACTGGAATGTGAACGATGAATCCCTGGGAATTTCTTGAGGATGAAGGATATAAACAGAAATACAAAAGTCAGGAAAAAGGAGGAATTATTTTCATTAATAAATCCATCAAAAAATTATTGATCCCTTTTCCCATCCCAAACTCCACCTTTTCCCTGTGTTTATGGGACACCAGTGTAAATTCCAGGAATATCCTTCATCCTTTGGGAAAAACTGTGAAATTCCCAGAAATCACCAACAAACAGAACCTTGCTGATGTTTTTTCCTCTGCGTTGAATGATGGAAAATTAAGGATGTAAAAGAAAAAAAAAAATCCCAAATTAAAGCAAAATTTGCTAAAATCCATCTTTTCTCCATGAGGATTCCTTCCCATTCCAATAATTTCCCTAGGAAACAAGGAAAAGTCTTCCCCAAAGGAAAATTGGAAGTTGTTCTAATAAACACACCTCAGTCCTGGAGTTTTTGCAGTAAAAAATGGGATTTTTCGTGTCTTTGTTTCCTCATTGTTTCTTAGTCTGTGTGAGGGAAGGGGAAAAGGGAAAGAGATCCTGAGAAAAACCTCAGCAGAGGCCAAGGAAAGCTGAGAAGCATGGAAAATCACACGGATTAGGAGAGCTCCTTTTCTGGGGAATAATAATTGAAAAAGTAAGGGGAAAAAAAAAATCCTGTGGGGCTGGAAAAAGGAGAGGCCAGGAGCTGGTGGAGCTTTTTAGGGAATGCCGAAGAATCTGGATATGCAAAAATCCAGGAGCAGAAGGAGTTGGTAAAACAGGGAAATTCTGAGTTTAATGGAGGGAAGATCAGTGGAATATTAGAATTCTGG